AAAAAAACCCCCCCCCCCCCCCCCCCCCCCGCCCCCGGTGTTTGCCATCGGGGTTGGGTTTTCGTCGCTTGGCAACGACGTTGTAAAACAAGCCAATTCACTTCGTGAACTCGGCAACCAGGTTACCGTTTTTTTTTTTACCGTTTTTTTTTACCTCGTTTTTTTTTTTGGCGGTAACCATAATGGTGGTCGAGTAGATCATGTTGTGCGGGGTGGAGAACCCTCACTCCGCGCAAGGGGGATGATCGCACCACGTTGTGTTAAAATGGTCAAGCATCCTCGAGGCAGTTACACAGTGCTTTACAACTGTCTCTGGAAGTGAAAGCACCAGAAAATAAATTAAGTCATACGAAGCTGTCATCCGTACGCAAGGAAGTAAGCACAAGATGCCGAACACCCTTAGCAGGATGCAGCTCACCCTTCATGCGACTCGCCAAATACCTCACGGCGCTTCGCGCTTGGTGATGTGAGAGCCTGGTCCGGTGAGAACCCGGCGTGCTCCGTCCCGGCTTTGTAGGGATGCGAGGTCAATGGTCTAACGACTACGGCATGCACGACTATGAGTACACCCCCCCCCCCCCCCCCGAGTTGTTGGTTCGTGCGTCCACGCTGCCGTTAATGTCTTGTCGTTCGTTCCACCACAGGAAGACGGACGATTTGTTTTGGTGAAAAACCACGAAAACATATTTTGTCAGTTCGTAGTCGTACGGCGGAGTGCATGGATGGAGACGTCGATAACTTGTGCGGGGGCACGAAATGGAGCCGTGATGCCGTGCACACTTTCTCGTTATTAGATTTGTTACCGATGTTTTACTCACAAGCTTGTACCGCCCGCCGATGTCGTCGCCCTCTGCCGTGTTGAACGAAAATCAGGGAGAATACCCAAATCGTTGTGGGAGCTCCCCAGTCTGCGCGTGGTGGCTCTGCACAAGAACAAGTTCTCAGGTGAGATGGGTTAAGCACCTTGGTACATGCACGTTTCCCTCCCTAGCAGCCCCTTGGCGCGTTCATCCTGTTGGCGTGCGTCCGCAGCGTTGGGGTGCTTTTACAAACGCCGACGGAGGAAATAAGACGCCGTAGCAAAGGTGTGGTAATTTTTCCTTGAGGGGATGGGGGGGGGAGGGGGGCGGTTTTGTTTGTCCCAGCAAGCGCAACGTCCCCCTCCTAGGTAGAAGCCAATTTCCCGTTATTGAGACCACGCGAGTGCAGCGGATTCTCGTGGTCGGGGGACAGGGCGGCAACAGGACCACGAGGCAATGGTGCCGCTGCCGTGATGATGGTTCGGCGGCCGCAAGGCCGCACCGTAGTTGATCGTGTGTTGTGCGCGCGTTTCTTTTTACTTCTTCAGCCGTCCTAAACTTTTTTGGTGCTTTCGCCCCCAACAACATCCCTGACACGTTTCTCCCGACGGCTCGCCTGCCCCACGACAACGTCCGTCTTCAGCCACCCCTCCGGCGAATTTCGCGCCCGCGCTACCCGTCCCCCTTTCAATGGAGGGCGCAGCTGGTGGCGCGCCCAAGCCACCTCCACGGCGGCGTCGCTGCCTTGCGGTGCGTTTGTATCCGTTCCCCCATTGTATTCAGCACGAACTACCATGGGGGCGTATATCCGTATAGCGGCGGGATGCCGCGTGAAGGCGTGTTGGACGTTGCTCGCTCTTTGTTGCTTTTGACTTGTACGGGGGACTGGTTTTTCTTGCGATGCATTTAAGTCGGGTGGGTTTCGGGGATGAGGCGGCCGGTGTTGTTTAGAAGGTCGGTCGGTCGGTCGGTGTCGAGTGACTCGTGTCGCCGAAGCGTGCTTGGTAATCCCGCTGCCTTGATGGCATCGCTATAGCTGCGTTTCCCCAAAGAGAAGTTCGGGTGCCCTGGGCGCAGGGACTCGCGTGGGCAGCGACGACGTCACTTGCGCCTCAAACGCAAACCCGCTACGGAATTCGTCACGTGCCATCGGACTCTCAATAATTGGCGTGGCGCAGTGGCTGAACTTGTAGCAGAGCTACGGGCTAGATACCCCGCTCGACGCCCCTCCTCTAGACTCTGGTCATGTTGCGGACCTTGCGCGTGCCTGCGGGGCCCCAAACACCAACAAGCGTTTTTTTTTTTTTTGCCACACACCCTGCCCGCCCTGTCGTTTTCGGTGGCGTTTCTACCGTGTTCCCTTCCAGGGCAAGGTGGAGGCGTGCCATCCCGGCCGCATAGAGCTGTACGACGGAGAGTGGTTCACGTGCTCGTGGAAGATCTGCAACAGCGGAGGGCTTGTTTTCCCCAGACACACCAGGCTCTCCAGGGTAAGCCGCGATGGGCATATAATATGCCACTGTTCGGCGGTTGGACGGACTGTGCGGCGAAAAAAAGAAGGGTGTTCATTTTTCGTTCTAAAGGCGTTCGAGGGTAGAAGGGGTTTGTCGCCCCGGCACGAGGTGACTGACAACCACGAGCACGTTATCTGTCTTGAACGGAACAGCTGTTCGGTTGCCTTTTGTTTTACTGTACGGCGCTGCTTGCTGTCCTCGCCGTAGTCTTGAGCTGCCGCTGGTGCCAGAAGAAAAGGTGCGGGTGTTGCTGCTGGGTGATGAACGCGGCGGGGCAGCGGTGTGACGTTCCGGTTGTTGTCCATTTTTATGGCTGGCGTTCTGCGACCGAAGAACGTACCGACGCGCTCGCCTGGCTTTTTTTTGTTCTTTCTCACTCGTGAAAATGGAGAATGGACCGACACGCTCGCTTTTATGTTTGTTTCGCATTTCTTCTATAATAACTCTCGTCGAAACTGCACCGTGATGGTTCGTTCGCGCTCGCGTTTTTTTTTTTTTCCTGGGCGGTTATTTTCGGTCCCGCAGTCCAGCGACGAGTATTCCGGCATCGGAGGGGCTGAGTTTGTCATGGTCAACCCCCTCAGGCCTGGAGAGGAGCAGGTCGTCAGCGTCATGCAGCAGGCGCCAAACCATGTGAGCGGGACAGATACCGGTCTTGCGGGGGAATGTAGTGATGCAAGGGTATGAATTGGCGCCGCGAACCGTACGGTCTCGCCCAACTTGGCGGCGTGCAACGATAGTATTTTTTCGCCCTGGAGGAAGGCGGCACAGAGACGTTGACAATGCACGCGGGCGTACGTTGTCTAACCTCCCCTGCCGGTTTCGTGTTTGTGTCTGAAACTGCCGTCGTGCATGGCGGCCTGCAGGAGGCGTGGTGTAAGGACGAGTGGGCCCTTGTCGGCGAGGGCCTGGACTTCTGGGACGAGGACGACGCGAAGGCTCAGACGCCCACCATCACGGTCATCATGCGCGGCAGCGGCGCCGAGAAGAGCGCCGACATGAACGCCAACCTGCCCACGCTTGCCAACACGGTGTTCGTTGCGGCCAGGCAGCGGCACCGATCTTCCACCTACTCCTCCGGATCCTCTCACCGCTATTCCGTCAGCCTTGAGCCTCCTCCTCCTCCGTACTCCTTCTCTTGAGACACCCGGGTGCGCGCGCCCTTGGTGGACCCGCGCGTAGGGGTCCCCGCCCCAGGCGAGGGAGAGCACGACTACCGACGAAGAGCTGCGGGACCGGCTTACAGTTCGTTCGATGCGCGGAAGAGGCTCATGAACAGTCAGAAAACGGCTGTCTAGCCTCGAACAATTTGGGGCCTGAGCTCTTGACAGAATTGTTCACCACCCCCCGAAAAAATAAAATGTCCACGCTAGAGATACCCGCTTAAAGTGGACTTGTTGACGTCGTGACAGTGAGTACCTGGTTGATATGTAATTGACTTGTTTGATAATGTTTTTACGCCTTATGCACGGAGAAGGCAGGGACGTCAGCCGGAACAATAAACGCGTTTTTAACGGAGACGGTGTCCGCGTTTAGTTTCGCCAGGCGAACACGAACAAATTGCCGAGTTTTTGACGGGACTACAAGGGATGGATGCGAGTACTGGCCCTCTCGGCAGTGGTAGAATTTATGTGGGAGATGTGAGTGAACGACGCGTGGCTGTTTGGTGTGTGGTAGCGTGATGTAGCGGGCGTTGGCGATGCCTCACCACGGTGAGACATCGAGGCCGCGACGTTCTCCGATCGGCCTTCTGCGGCGTCAATTTCTGCGTACAGAGGCGTCGTCGGAGTCGCAGAGAACGGTTGAACCGGAAACGCCACCCGCAGCAATGGCTTTGGTGGGGAGTGCCCTCTGGAGCGAGCCTCAAAGGCGCGGCATGATTTTCACACTCATGCGGCCCTTCCGCGCCCTTCCCCCTGGTCCGTGAACATGGCACGTACCCTTCAGAGTTGTAGTACTGTGGGGCTATTTACATGTTGACTCTACTTGTCAGAATTCATTGTTTGAGCTTGTTTGAGATTTTCTGGCTTGGCTTTGCAGTCCAAGGCTGTATATTATTTTGTTGTTTGTCTTCTTGTATGGATCTTTCCCGCTGCATGGTCGCCGTTGGCCTGGTGAGTCGTTTTAGGCGTTCCATTGTAACGGCGCTGGGTGTAAAAATATTTTTGAGAGAGCGTGGGACAGGGGGGGCAACCTTGGTTCATTTTTTTGGCACCGAGGCGGATTTAAAAAAAAATCACGGCGATCGAGTTGACCTTAAGTTTGTCATATCCTGTATCAACTCGGGTGCGCTTACAGGAGACTGCCCGTATTGCCTGATGTCCCCGGTGCGCGATTCCCTGCTGAAATATTTCCTGGTTAGTGATAGACCCGACAACCTACGTTGTCTGCTCACACGCCATATACAAACGGCGCGCAAAATGTGGGTTTGCAGGATCATGTCGAGTACACTATTAGCATCTTGCTGATGGCGTGAGTGTTTAGGTTATGGCCGCGTGCACTTTAAAACGGAAGGAAGTGAGTGTGATGTGAGTCGAAAGCTCATTAGTTGTTGGTATCCGTGTAGGATACAAAAGTTGCTTGTGAATCATGTTCGGAGTATTTATGTCGACAATGAATTTCCTTCTTTGCGTCCGTTTGGTCTTCAACTTTATGTTCGGGTCTGCCCTGTTCTGCATTATATTTTCTGTAGATCGTGGAACTCTTCAATAATTATCTTCGAAGGTCAGGCATTAGATCATTCTTTTGAGCTGTTTTTTGTTGTATCACACGGTAGCTTGCATACCACATTGGGTAACTTGTATCACCAGAGCGAAGTTGACTCATTTGCCTTGAAGAACGAGTAGAAAATACGGGGATAGATAGCGGTGAGTAGAGTTTTCTTTTTAAGACAATATATAGCGAAACCTCCTGTCTCTGTCTGTTGCAACGTTCTTGGCGTAGTCGTTTCGCCCGGCGTGCTTCTTGTGCCAAGTTCCATTTATTTTGGGGCGCGGACTTGCACATGTGTTCCATAATATTACCCTTGGCTTGTCGTTCTTCTTGCCGCTGTTCGCATGGAACGCAAACAAACAGACTCGGCGTTAGACAACAGACACACCAGCAGTAAGTAGCAGTCTAGCCGAATTAACAACCTATCTCCCCATCTAGTAAGTCATGCTCGGCAGAGAGAGAGATAACTCGGATGATGATCCCGTCGTTTTGGGCGACATATATATATATATGGACCATACCCACACCCGTGTTCAACATCCATTCGTATTCTATAACCAACCGACGTCTGATGGTAAAAGTCTGAATGTGTTGCACATACAACACCTTGGGACACCCGCAACAATCATATGCATACCTGGTACTTGTTAATTTGCCAGCGATGTTCAACTCCCAAGTGACCAGATTTTTTCAGTGTCTTCATCTTCCTGTCTGCTTGTGTGTGGCTCGTCTCATCGATTTTGCTACTGATTTTGCTTATTATAAATCGCCTTGTACAAACTACAGAATGAATAGAGGCCCAGCTTGACCAGCACCGATGCTGAAAGGTCTCAAACAGAGATCGAAATGTGGTGGAGACCACACACACGCACAAAATCGTCGGACGCCACGCCGTTCACCTGTTATACAATTACCTCGATGGCCTCCAAATCTGCAGTTAGTTGAGCCCATCCATGGTCGGGAAGCCCCTTTTGCACATTCCCAGTTTGATCCCTACCGCAAGCCTCCCATTGTGTTCGGAGCAGCCGGCATTCGGATCCCTGCCGTGGTACCACATATATAACCCCTCCGATAGGACTTGAGGCAAGGCGGGAAGGCTGTATCGGATTTCGTGCTAAGGTGCTCTCCCATATTGACCTCGTGGCTGACACACATCGTCTTCGCTGCTGATCGCTGTACATCCAGGTGGGTAATTTCTACGTGTTGTATCCTTCGCCGTACTCCGTAACATGTCCACACCACTGCTCCACACGGAGAGACCAACTGCTACTCGCTGCTGCTGCTGACCTTCATGACGGATGCTCTACAACGTTATTACGACATGGCTGCGACAAGATATTATCTCGACAAACCGCTCTGAGGAACACCAGGGAAGCTGACAACAACCACCACATTGGATGTAAATCGTTTGAAAACTTTCCGTGCTCTACTGATGGTGTTTACCAACACCCAACATAACAGGAAACAAGCTAACATGCTACAAACTGACTGCTATGCCCTACCTACCATGCACCAGGTATACCATTCTCATCTACTGCTGTAAACATCACTGATACGTTACCCCAAAGGATCAAAAACGGTTTAATTTGTAAATTCAAAAATGGCGGGAAACACCTGCTGTCCATGAAATTCAAAAATCTGTAGATGATACTGCTGCAGACTTCGTTCGTTCCATCTTCCATGATGTTTGCAATATATTATTCCTAATATGTTCAATAAACCAGCAAGCTTTCAATAGACACTGCGCCGTGTCCCCTGTGAAGGTTACATTTTACAATACACGACACAACGGAGGGATTCTCCCCGATATTTTGTCGTTGACCCAGTAGAGAAGTACAGGGGATGTATTGTAAAATGTAAGTTACCTATACAGTACAGATGGTTTTGTACTTAGTTGGCACCACCAGCTGGCATCACTGGTGGTATAAATCATCAGTGTATAGACTTAGAAAGACTCGAAATAAGTCCAGTACCCAGCCGGTTTCCTTCCACTCACTGAAAAGACTCCACCACATCCCGTTCGACTCTGTGGGTATATCTCGAATGGGTAGTCTTTCTGTGTGTGTTTTCCCGCGATCGCAGTACCTCCTCTGAAAATTCCAGGAAACGCCTGCATACATATTATATCTCGGTTTTCCAAAGTCTAACTGCAGTACGAAACTACCATCATAAATAAATTAACCGTCCGCAGCGGTCGCTTGTGGACAATGTTAGCAGCTGAGATTGTAGACCTTTCGATACACTACAGACTACTAGCGGTCCGCGATTTTCCAAACGATCCTTCTATCATCGAGTTCGGTGAGCTACATACAAGCTGCTGCTGTGCGGTCCAATTTTGAAACGCTTCAAGCACCTTTCTTTGCCTAAAGGCTGGACATGCATATATATACATGACCCTAGGCATTCAAATCGACAATGGCGACCAGCTGGATATGTGAGGGAAGAGCGGCGCTGAAGTTCGCGGCCCCATACACTCACATAGGCCGTGATTCGTGTTCACCGTGTGCTTGAAGCGTTTCAAAATTGGACCGCACAGCAGCTTCAAAAATCTAGCTTGTAGCTCACCGAACTCGATGATAGAAGGATCGTTTGGAAAATCGCGGACCGCTAGTCTGTAGTGTATCGCAAGGGGTACAACCTCAGCTACTAACATTGTACACAACAAGCGACCGCTGCGGACGGTTAATTTACGATGGTATACTTTCGTACTGGAGTTAGACTTTGAAAAACCGAGATATATATGCAGGCGTTTCCAGGCGTTTCCTGTTTTTTTGAAGAGGAAGTAAGTACTGCGATCCCCAGTGCGTCCTTAACATTAATTAGCCAACCCTCACCGTTACGACCGGCAGTTTTATTTTGGACACACGAAGAAAGACTGCAGTTTTGCACGTCGTCACCATTCAGCAAGGTTCTTGGCGCATAATTTGGCTGGGTGTGGGTAGCTACTCCACGTTGGTACGACACCACCGTAGATTCCGGAACGACTGGTGAAAATGCCGTTGCAGGTTGCTACAGGCATCATGTAGTGTAGTAGCGGTGGCCTGTTAGTTGTTGATTGAGGAACAACAACGCACAACAATCTGAGGCGCTGCGATTAGCAACAACAATGAACGTCGACGGGCTGTTTATTGAAACAACAATATACATACACACCAATCAGTGCTGCTGCCTGTGTGCGACGCGTGCGGAATTTCGAATTTTATTTCGGAACCCATCTACTGCTACTACTGCTACTGCTGTAAACAGCAGTAACCTACGTCACAAGAGGTTATTATTAGCTAGGTGTGGGCTCACACGACGTCTTTTCCGACCCTGTCTGTATGTGGAGACCGCCGCCTTCGCAAGAAAAAATGAAACATCCCCGCAGCCTCCCTGTGTGCCCCAAGATGATCTTGTCGCCGCCGTGGCACACAGACAGGTTCAACCAGTCAATGTAGCCGCAGTCGAGCCTCCGCTGTCAGGCTAGCTTCACGCAGCATGGTCCAAGGGGAGTCACCGCCACTGCTATCGGAGACTCACAGGCTCGCACCAGTACATTCATGCAGATTGCGCCGCATCCTAAATATTTTTGTTTGTTTTCCGCCGCATTTGACCGGTCGCCTGTCACCTGTCACGGCTGGACGCCCGTGTCACAGAGGTGTCTCCTCGGTTTATGTACCCGCTGCCGATCCTGCTTTAGCAACCACCGCCGCTGCAGCTGCTTCTACTGCTATCATCGCCACAGATTTTGCTTCCCCTGCCGACATGTAGACCGCCATGGAGACCGAACCGCTGGCGCCACAAATAAATGCTGACCGATTCAAACACACGAAACGACCAGGCACCACCATCCATCTGCCCATGAAGCGTTCACGGTCCATACCACATTTTCCGCGAGTTTTCTTTCGCTTTCACGAACAGAATATCGGCTCCTCCACTCCTCGCGGGGCCTATGCCTCACCGCAACCACACACCTCCTCACCATCCAGCGACGTGCATCGACATCCAGCCAATATCCTACATCGTACTACAACGGAAGAAACCGTGGAAGCGGCAACACTGACTGCCTGGTGGGTGTTGGCCGAGAGAGAGAGGAGGAGTGCCAGCCGCGCCAAAGGAGCGATCTTTGGGCCTGTGTTCTGACGAACGAAGACGAATATAGGTGGGAAGAATATGTAACGTGTACATATGCGAGATGAGGGAGAGATGAGGGTAAACGGCTTTGTGGCAGCGGGGGGGGGGCTTTGCACTCATGTAACACTCCGAGTCCGATAGGCGGTTGTGATCTTATCTATGTATCTCCAGGGCTCAAATCCGCCTTCAACTTGCTCGTCTCTGTAGTAGGTAGTAGGTGGCTTTTCCTGTGATGATATATATATATATTGGAGGCCTGTCGTCTCATGAACTGATGATTGATTGTGATGATTCATGTATGCATGTGGAACGTGCGTTTGACCACATGATGATGATTATTTCTCCCGTGATTGATCTCGAACTCCAGACCAGCACGGCGGACAATTCGAGCCTTCTCTGGGTAGCCTCGGCGCTGTATACAACAAGTAGAGGAATAATCGGCCCACCGAGGTCTGCGCAACCTGCGACAAAGCAATACCTCTATAGGAAGAAAGTGGAAGTTTCTTGACAAGTTGTGTGATTAGCCCCTTCATCCGTCGTCGCGACGATGTTATCCCGCAACACGCCAGATGGCGACCAATTATCAATTATCAAAGGCACATTGAACTCAACGCCCAACCGCACCGGGGAGACCCGGTTCCTTCCGCGACGAACATACACAGACAGGCATATAATTTGTCGCACAGCAACCAAGGCAGGCCGCAGATCTTCAACCCACAGAAAAAAAAAACATCACTTGCTTGCATCACACATTTTTTTCGTACAAACGTAGAGAAACCTTTCTGTGTGACCGCGGATTGGAGTGAACAGCACAACGCGATGTGAAGTGAAGACCAAAAATAAAAAGCGTATTTCTTCATTTGACAGCCGCAATCAATTCAGCTGCGAGCTGTCCACACCACCATTGTTCCACACATCCGTACGTACTGTACCAGGAATATTGCGCGCGTCAAATATAGCGTCCTCCTGCCCAGAAACATACTATTTCGTCCTCCTGCCCGGAAAAAATAATCAATCGTCTTGAGGTGTTGTTGTTGTTGTTGTTGTGTTCACATAAAAACCGTTCCGATCTCTCCTCGACACAGTATCTTCGTCTGTCCGTACTGATCAAACACTTGACCGAGCGATTCCCGTGATCACAGAATAACTTACCTAAAAGAGGCATTCTCAAACAAAATGGACCCGCCAATTTCAAACCAACGACCGATAGTCCGAGGCCCTCCGCTCCCCTCTACACACGCGCTATGTGGAGCAGAAATGATTAAAAATATCACTGACCAGAGAGAGAGAGAGGTGCATCCCCTGGTTCAATCTTGGTGAGAGAAGGCCGTCCGGGGAAGAAACGGACAAAAGAGATCGAAAAAGAAAAAGAAAACGAGGCAGGATAAAATAGAATCGACTGACAGACATAAATTAAGGACACAACCCTCAAGCCAACGAACACAGTCAGGGCCTCCAGCAGCAGCCATGGCATGTTATCACTCGTGGGGGGGTTGATACAATGGTGCGATCCCGGGAAGGGAGGGGGGGAATCGGCGAAGGAGCTCAATTCGGCCTATGCCGCTTCACGCGGTCCCGTTCTTCTCGGTTTCATTCGTCCCTCGCCGCCTCGTCTCTGCTGCCCCCCTCTCGCTCCCTCGGTTGTTGCAACATATCTGTACTGTTGCTGATCTCCTTGTCTCGTTTCAGCGCTGGTCGTCGGCTATCCTCCTCTTCACCCTTGTGCCAGACGGTCATGAACCTCTCAGCTCCCTGCCGTACCCCCGTATGACATGGTACCCCCCGCTCCACCTTCGCTGCGTCCGTCCAAACATATTTCGGGACTCCGAACGCACATGGCCTGTCGTCCGTTGATCTGTGCGTAGACCTGAACGCCTTGAGATCGTCCTTCAGGCACATCAGCCAGTTCTGCTCCGGGCATCCATTGCGTGGGTTCTCTCCACCGACCAATTCGCCGAACATCAGCCGTTTCGGGCGTCGCCAGTCCGGCTGCCTTGCCAGTGCTTCCGCGAACAGTAGGCGTCGTTGCCGAACGGTGGTTTCCACGCTCTGGCACCCGACCCTCAGAGTCTGGGCGTACGGGAGTCGGCGATAGGTGCCCTTCTTACGCTGGTGCCCGACAACTCGCCGGAGAAGCCGGTGGTGTATCGACAGCAACACCTGGTAGTGGTCACCACGTGGGGGCCCATGTCATGCAACCGTACAGCAGCGCCTCCATCGCCTCCGCTTGGAATAGGCGGGTCCTTGAGTCGAAACGGTGCTTCCGGTCTGTCGAAGAGCTCCCGGCCATATATCCTGACGCACGCCCACGCTGCTCTGCTCCTGTAGTCGATCGCCCGGGTGAGGTCGCCATGTTCGTTAACGAGGCCACCTAGGTACTGAAACTCCGTCATCTGGGCGTACTTCTGTCCCGCTGCTTCGAAGATCAGCAGTGACGGTGGGGGGCGGCGTCGTTGGCTGGTCCTCCTCCCTTACGCTGATCAGGAGCGTCTTCGTCTTCTTCTCCGACACCGTCAGCCCGAACTCCCCAAACACTTCCACGATGACGGTCATCATTCTCGCCAGTCCGTCGGTGGACTTCGATACAACGCCGACATCATCGGCATTCAGCATCCCCCATGCCGCCTTCCGCACTTGAGGAAGTGGTGTTCCCGGCCCTGCCCCCGCCTCCTCCGCCACGAGCTGCACCAGGTTCCGCAGAATAACACCATCCTCGCTGAAGCGATTGATAACGACCTCGAGAGCTGCGGCGAAGAAGATGTTGAACAGCAGTGAGGACGGCACACACCCTTGTCGCAAGCCCTGTGTGACCCAAAACCAGTCCGATAGCTCTCCGTCGTCCATGCGCACCCGGACTTGCATTCCGTCGTAGAATCGGCGGATGACCGTGAGAGTCTCCGCGGGAATCCCGGCCCGGGCCAGCACGTTCCACAGCAGCTCTCGATCCACCGAGTCATTAGCCTTCTGAAGGTTGATGAAGCACATGTAGAGGGGTATTTCCCTTCTCCGCCCCAGCTCCTGGAGTCGGCGAACGACGCGCAGCATGTCGACGGTGGATCGCCCAGGTCGGAAGCCGCACTGCTCCTCCCAGAGGATGCTGTTGGCTTCGCAGAAGGCACGTATTCGGTTGTTGATGATCTTGACGGGGACCGTTGCCTAGTTGAGATAGTAGCGATATCCCCCTGTAGTTGTTACAGTTGGACAGGTAACCCTTCTTGTGCAGTAACTTGATTGTTGCGTCCTTCCACTCTTGCGGGATATCTCCTCCTCTCCACATGTTATCGAGGATGGCATGTAGGTGCTCCAGGACGATGGTTCGTCGTGTCATCGATCTTGAGCACCTCGGCAGGCAGGGAGTCATGGCCGGGTGCCTTCCAGTTCTGCAGGCCTTTCGTTGCCCGATCCGCCTCCTCAAGGTCTGGCGCCGCTCCCAACCGTCGAGTGGCACGTGTCGCCGGTCGCTGCGTCACTTTGTTCGATGACGTCTGGGTTCAGGGCGAGGGGCATGGTGTTGAGGAGGGTGCCGAAGAATCTCGCCCACCGCTGGAGGATGTCATCTTTGTTCTGGAGCAGCTCACCATTCTCATCTGGGACGAACTGCTGCCCTCCCGCTAGTCTCCCGTTGAGGCCCACCGATGTCTTGAGGTTTTTATTATAGAGTCCTCTCGTATCTCGCTCCTTGCTGATCGCTTAGATTTCCGTCACATATTTGTCCAGGTGGGCGTAGATTCCCGTTTCGACTGTTGCAGCCCCTCCCTTACAGGGTTCTTTGAGAGTCCTCCATGCTGCTGAGGTCCGGTTGCTCTTCCCCGCGCCGCGCGCTTCTCGCCGCTTGGTAAGGGCCCCCTCCAAGGCTGCTCTCGTCTCTGGGGTCTCACGTGTGTCGTCTCCGCGGTTCTTCGGGTCGTATCGCCCTCGCCGCTTCGAGGAGAGCATTGGTGAACTCGGTCTATATCTCCGGGGTAGTGGTCGTTTGCTCGCCCAGACGTTGGTCGCGGTCGAGGAGGAACCGGTCAGTCACCGCCCATCGCGTTGCTTCAACCTGTAACTCCGGCCGGCTGAACTGCTTCTGATTCGGCTTGGTCCGAACCTCTGAGTTGTGGGCGAGCCTGCCACCGAGGTTATTTCACCATGTTGTGATCTGAGGCCGCCTTGACTGGGCGTGCCGGCTGGGGAATGACAACCCGTTAGACACTAGGCCGCGGTGTGCCTGCCTCGTTGGGATGTAGTGGTTGCATCGTTTTTGGCTCTTCGTTTCTGATGCGATCGTTGGAACTGTATGGCACAAGTGCAGTTTGGCTGAAGTTTCTCTGCGTGCAGGCAAGAAGACCTGCTACATCTTAGGTATGGTGACGGAATAACAAACGAAAAGAACCTCCAGCCCGAACGCAGATGATGAGCTGCCCGCCAAATGGCCTGGCTTTGCACCCTGCTTCTGCTCTCCACTCTCTTTGGCTGTGTGTGTCTGTCTTCTGTTCTCAGTTTGACTCACTCTCTCTCGCTCTCTCGCTCTCTCTCCTGGCGCACTGTATTAGCATCGACCACGCTAACCGGCTGAACAATGAAAAGACGTCGTCAGTATCAGTGCGATTGAAAACAAAATGCTTCTCAAGGCCACCGTCTGGGACCCTGTGACAGGGCGTCATGGGGAAGTCTACGCTACTCTCTGGATTAATGACAGATACCGTAGCAATAACAGAAGAAATCTGCACGTTGTTACCATGGCGGCTATTACTTTGGACGCGCGTTCGATTTGGAATGCTCTCATCGTATTCCCTGCATTTTCTACGGCCACTCTCGTCGCCAACACTCCCAATTTTTGCACGTCCTCTCCAGTCCCGCGACGTTTGTTGTGATGAAGGTGATCTGGCTCAAACCCTTTGGTCTCTTTCACGCCATGTTTTCCTCCTCCATCATGGCCTTCATCCTGTTTCTTCCCTTCCCCTTTCCTTCATCTCCGTCACGCCAACATAACTACCCTCAAGCAATCCTTATCACGTTCACCAGAACAACTACTGAAATCCCAACCTATTGGCCGGGGTGGAAATTGGTCGGTCATTAGTGTGTGTGTTGGCATGTGATTCCTGTCAGACCACATGCATGCATAGATGCGTTGAACAGCGGAAAAAATGAAAAATATACAAAACCGTTGACCGTCGGATAATGTAGAAAGACAAGATACCATTGAATACTACCGAGTGTCCTGGTATGCGCGTTGGATGTGTGTCCTACCGACTTAGGTTCGAAAACAAACGTGGTTGGTCCCGTGTTTTGGGGCACCGAGAATCGAAGTTACAAGCAGCCGCGACGCTCCATCTGGCCTTTACAACCTCAGAAAATATTTTGTTTAGCATTGACAGCCTCAGAAAAAAATTATTTAAAAACACCCCATAGTCTATGTATTTTTTATGGGTAGGAACGCCTCGCTGCCAAATAAACTCAGTCGCATCGCCGGCTGTTCGCGATGAGCACACTTTGCCACGGTACTTGGCGATCTTCGGGGCGTGCATGCCCCTGAGAAGGAAGCGGGAGAAATGATTTCGTCCTGCCAGAAAGAAGTGCCGAACAGTGATAGAGCCTCGGATCCAATACTTCGACGAGAAGAACGGAGGACACAATAATTCAGGTATGCTTCCTTCTCGTTTTACACAGGCCATGAAGACGCAATGGGAGCTGGGTGCGCTGGTCACCGCTGCTTGCTTCAGCACTGCGTCGGGATACACAACAACCACCTTTTCCGGTAAGCATTTCTACCGTACAGATGAGGTCCTCGTTCGTTTTCTTAATGCCTCATTTTGCGGGAGGCTCGAGGCTCCAAACCAACAGCCTGGCCCACTCTTCTTGCTCGAGCTGGACCCGGTAGTAATGCAGGAACCTGTTGCGCTCCTGATACGGCCGAGCGATTCTCCCACCAACTCATGCTCCCGTCCCAAGCCTAACGAGTAGTCCGAGCTGCAGCAACAATATTCCAAGGTCGGCGGCCGTTCACGCCTGGATGCGAACCCGTCCCGAATTTTCCCAGAGATGTATCTACATTAGGCGCCCGCATCTACGTCACCGTGTTGGTCCAGAAGGCCGAATCCGTCGCTCTAGCCGCGGGACATGGCTGCATCGACAGGCACAGCGGATTTCTTCGAGATTTGTCAACCCTAACACTACGGAATAACACATCATTCGTTAACGCAACGACAGCAGCAACAATCAACAACACTACCTCCTTGGGGAGAGGTATGAATCTGGTGCGACTCAAACTTCCCGTGATCATCTCTCGCTGCCGGAGTTGCCGTCTTTCATGCCCTCCCCGCTATCTACCTCGCGTCTTCCACCCCGCGGGTAGGTCTGTCTCTCCACCCCCAACACGCTGTTGGTCACATGGTCGATCTCGGTCAAAGACGACTCATAATATTTTCAGTTGACGACCCTCGTCAGGATATTGTGTTGCCCCCCTGTAGGACTCCGAACCGTATCGCTGACAATCCCGCCGCTCTTGGGCACCTGCTTGCTCAAGCTGGCGTGTCGGAACTAAGGATCGGTTCTTATGACTACTGCAGTTTGCAAGATGGAAAACGGAAAATGGTCAGAACTCGGATTGACGAACGAAAGAACGACACAGTGAGGTAGACCACCAACCACGTACGACTTTGTTTGTTCTATGGAAGTTTTCGCGGGCAAGCTGTGGATAAAACTGCCGAACAAACGATTGGCGCAGGGTGAGGTATTCGACAACAAGTGACGTGGGATGGAGGTAGTCCAGCAGGAGAAAACCCGTTGGCAAGACTTGGGGGCTCCAAGAAACGCATTCGTAAACAAACAGAGAGCCAAGCACGGTGGTGTTGTCTACATCTGCTCGTAGGAGCAACGCTTCGTCTCGAAATCCATATATTTTCAGCGCCGGCATGCCGAGGCAAGGGCCAAAAAGAAATGTGCACAAGTAACTCGTTGATCCGTCCTCCAAACGGCGTCGTTCGACCAGCTGCAAGGCCACAACCGAGGGGTCGTTGTCTCCGGCATTTGGAGGCGACTTTGCCCCGTGTGCCCGCCGTGTACCGCTTCAATTCCATTGCTTACCGCACGAAAGTTTGGGTAACTCAACCGGGCTCCAGGTCAGTGATCGAGGAAAAGCCGCCACAGGGAAGTACGGGTGGGACCACAGGCCGTAGCTGGAGGCCTCATCCGAAATTCAATACTTACATTATATAGTCCTCTAATAGGTCAAGAGCAGTAATGCAACAGATCAATGCCTGCCAGCAAGCCTTATCACCTGTCCAACGAAACCGCACTCCCCGATCCCGCTCGACCTTGAACTGCTGTGCAGATTGCTACCAAGAATGGATCAGTGATGGAATGTGCGACTCATGTGAGTGGCTGTTCTTGATGTGTTCCCTCGCTTCTAACGATGCAGTCAGATAGACGGACGGGGTGCTCTTGAGTTTTGCCCGCGTGTTTCAAACAACGTTTGGCGTGTGCGCCAGATTGCGCATAGCCATGAGTCGGCCGTTCCTCTCGGTGACGCCGCTGTTCCACGGTGAACGGAGGTACGTGGAGCCCCTCCATCTTGCAGAATGGAAATTTAGTTGATGGAGCTATTGAAACATTTGCTGTGTCGTTTGTCCAAGGATTTCTATTCGTAGTGAAGACTTGTGGCGAATTCATTTCCTACTTTGGAATAAGGGTCTGAACCGGTTTCTCTGCACGGCGGGTCTACGTGCGGAATTCACACCGTGCGGTGAGCACGCGAGAAGGCATCCCCCATATGTAAGAATGGTGCCCCACAACTTCTCGTTTTATGGACTGCACCTGGCACTGCGCGACTATATATCAATTATTTAGGGAGAGGAGCAACAATATTGGCGCGTTCTTTGCTACAAGCTAATTGAACCGTTCGAAGCAAACAACTGCCCTCAAGGCCCGGGTTGAGCATGAGGAAACCGACACGCCATTTTTGCCGCACTACTCTCTGCGATACGCCTCTGTCTGTTTCCTGCCGCTTGTTGCCGTTCCTACTGTGATTCCCATTTGACCACGTCGATTCAGCAGCAATAGCGTGAGTGGGCGGAAACGTCTGCATTAGAAACTATAGGAATATTTCACGGTTGAGGCGCAAACTATGCTGTCTACGACATAGAGTGGCTGGAACACCCGCATCCAGGTGGATTAAGTGAAGAATGCAACCCGGAGAAAGAACGTCCCCCTGCATTTCGGGATGTTGAATCGTGATGTTGTTCCGTTTTTGCTTTTGACTTCGCAGCGAACAACAATTCCGGCTGCGAATACGACGGCGGCGACTGTGAGTGAACTACTAGCGAGAACCGGGCCGGCTTTGGGCGTGGTCTTAACAAGGGCCTTCTCGAAGAGCGAGCCACATTCTTTGTTGTTCTGCCGTACTGATTGGTCGCAGGATTAGCCAGCTGTTAGATGCCCATGTCAGTGTTGTCGCCCTAATCAAATTCAAAACAATATTGGAACCGCCGTGAATCTTTCTCAAATAACAGCCGCGTTTGTCAACTTGATCGAGCAGACGGACTATTTGGACGCCCAATCTTTCTTGGTGGCGGCTTGTGCTCCATACTGCCGTCGATTGCGTCGGGAATGCTTCTGTAGAGATGGTGCTTTTAGGTTCTGTTGTGGTCGTGATCCCTCAACCAAATTTCCAGCGAAGCCGGCGGTTGGTCATATTTTCGCATGTGTTGCGTTCCATCTTCAAAATATCCATTGAGCACTAAGTTCGTTGCAATCTGTCACCGGCAACCTTTTCCCCTGCGATGTCGCTGAATCTCGAGGCTGCTCATGTGACTGCTTCGACGACACCTACGAGTGCGGTACTGACGGCTTCACCTGCCTCGATCCATCATCGTCCTGCACCTGTAAGCCGATGCTGGCGTCATGCCTTTGTTTCGTGATCGATAGCTGAAATAGGGCGCAGCGGCTGGTGTCATTTCTGCCCAGGCGCTACCACCGTGGGTCAGCCCTATGTGTCAAGACCCTTGTTAGAGCGATATGAGATTGGTGTGAACTAGCTCTCGACAGAAGTAAGTACTAAACGCTCTAGACACATACGTAAAGGTGGACGTTTGGCAACGATGTTTTCCTCGGGCGATACGTCTCGACAGTCCCGGCTTTTCACACGGTCAACATGACCTCTTCTTCTGTGCTTCTCCCACTGTCCTAGGATGTTGTTCAATTGTGCTGGTACAACCCCGTCTTGGTTGAAAAAGGGGAACCCTAAAAAATGGTGTCAACCGTGTTGCTTTCAGGCAGCATTGGGCAAAGAATGTACGCAGATACAGACACCGACAGGTTTTTGCATGAACCGTTGGCTGGCGTTACCCTGGAAATCAAACAAGTGCAGTTTTTCCCCGTGATTCCTTCCACCCTTTCCCTTGTTCGTTTTTCAACTGATGTGTAAGTTTGAAAATTCGTTCGTCTCCGCGCCTGGACGAATCTTGCTCGACGATGCCACATTCGTTTCAGATCACCATTACTATGACGACGATGGCGACCTCTACGACAGCCCAACCTACGATTACGATGTTGACGACTTCGGAGACGACTCCTTCGATGACACAACAGACGACAACTCTGTTGACAACTCGGAAGACGACTCCTACGACAGCTCAACCTCCGGCGCCCTTGATCTTGAAGGCGGCGGGATCCCCTCCGATGATGGTAAAGGGCTTGGGGGTGCGATGGCCCGCTCGGCGCCTTTACTATTTATCGCACTGGGACGCCGAATCAACGGGCTATGAACACGTTTCAAAATCAGGATCGTGCGCATAAATAAGCAATGTAGAGCACTCAACTCCTTCTCTCGCTTTCGATGTGTTCGCTCTGAGAAATTCAATCAAAACGCCCGACCAATCGAGCGGGATGACGCCTATGCGTCCGTGTGCATTGTGACGTCGCCTGGATTTCGACGCTTTATTTCTCACCCTCCCGAATTCTGCTCTGAGTGCATCAGCCGGGGTCACACAGGGGGAAAGCCACAAACAGGGAATTGTGCTTCTGCGGTGCATGCATTTAATATGTTCGCAAGCAGCGTTGAGTCGTTCTTTTCCCTCGTCCATCACATTGTTGAAGCTCGTTTCCGCACAACCCCAACCCTCCCACGCTTGCCCTCCCACGCTTGTAGGGTATGCCCAAATGTGACACCATGGTGCCACACAAGCTCGCGTCCAAACATTGAAACGTGTGAATTCTCGTTGCATCGACGTGACCTCATGAAAATACTGTGTCGCATCGTCTGTCTCTGTCCCTTGTAATGTTTCCCAACCTTCGCGTGGACACAACCGCACAACCTCGGTCACGGGCGGGACTGTTATCCGCCATCCATGTTGCCACCGATGTCGACGTTAGGCGATGATGGAGGTAGGTTTCTCTTTCTGTTGTCGGCGTATATTAAAGCGCTGGAACGACGGTGGATTGCCAAAACAACTGCGCACTAGCACGTGGGCTTCGACTATGTAGAACCTTATCAATATCATACACTACACATCGCGTTTTCTGCGAGTTCTTGAACTTCCGGTTTTGTGCTGAGGATTTACCGGGCTACAAGAAGAAGTATGTTGACGTCCAATGGGCAATCCGACGATCGTGTGTTCATGATCACGTAACACACCGAAACAATTAACCGAATACCATGTCGAGGAACACCGAATGGAATGCCTCACGGAGTGCACGTATCGCCCCAAAAGAACGGGAAGAGCGTGCTTTTGACAGTAAACAAGTTAGGACATCGTTATCTAGTATTATGCCGTTCTAGAATTGAAACCGTGTGTGTTTTGGCTTGTTCCGTGCTTGGCCACTTGTTGAACAGCAGGCGAACAGTGTACGTAGCTTCCTCTATTGCCAACGGCTCGGCTTCTTCCTATCACAATTCTATCAACAACGCGTTCCATCCGTTGGTCACGTACCCTTTGCATCGCAACCTAGCAGCTCCGGTAGGCGCTATCGTCGGTGGAGTAGTCGGCGGAACGGCCTTTTTGGCTGCTGCCGCCGTATTGGTGTGCTTGTTCGTCACGTGTCGCCTCAAGTGCTCCAAGTGCTGCAGCTCCCCAGGCCCTCCTGCAGCTCCTGCTCCTCCTGCCGGTCACGGCTCAGTCCAAGCGACCACCAAGACGTTTCCTGGGCCTGCGGCCCCTGCTGCTGCCGCTCCCGCTAGTGATCTTCCTCCTCCTCCGGCGTATGGCAGCTCTGACCACGGCGCGACGTCGACGGCAACCTCTGCGCCACCTGACACCCATCCAGTACACCAGTTTCCCCAAATGAAATGAGGTTTCTCTCGGGAATATCGACGAGACGGGGACATGAAAGGTGAAATACAGGTCGATTGGCAGGCCGCTAACTGTCCGGGAAGGCGGATCCCCAATCGAAGAGAGTTGCCAGCGGCCGGGCTCTGCTTGAGCAAAAGAGGCACTGCTACCCTCCGGTGTGTACGTATGGTTGGAGAGCATTGTCTCGCTCGACCAATGGGTGTGGAGATTTCAAAATGTTGTTCGTTACGTAGTTCTTGCTCGTAGGATTGGCACGTTGACCGGCCTGTCGGCCGGTGTTGCTGCAGAGGGAGATTCCAGGTAGCGCCGCTTTCTACCACTAGGAGCGCAATCTGGGAGTGAAAAAAGTGGACCAAACTCACTTGCCTTCCCCCGAACTGTCCGCTATGACGTCAAGCTTGCCCAGTACTTTTGTTCACATCATTTACACGAGGAGTTCAGGTCGTATCGCTTTCCAGGATGCGTGGATTGGAGTGCCCACATTCTTCGGCACTCGCTCTTGTTTGTTTTTCACAACCCGTGCTTTATTTGCCTTTCACTGCAAAGGGACCTGTAGTAATTTCCTTCCATGTATATATTCCTCTTTTCTGGCTTTGATGGGCGTTGCTCTTGGATTCGCAGTGCTGGGTACTTTATTTAGGCAACACGTATGGACTCGCGAGTATCACTACGTATATTTGCTGAGGGTACTGTAGGTAGGTCATGAAAATACTAAAACGCTGTGCACCCACTACGAATAGACGCTGGACTGTTGTCCACGGAAAGTGATGAACCTGCATCGTTGGTTCAAGTTCAAAAACGAACGTGGTTGTTCCACGGCAAGCTCTGCTTAGCGTCCGCTTTAGTGTTTTTCCTGTTTCGAATAATTATTGCATTTGTAGCGATGTTTTTGTACAGCCTGGACGTGCCAGATGCAGTCTCGTCGGTCACTCACTGCTATACATTCCAGAACCGGTCGCCCCGGTGGTCTAGGTGATATCCTCGAAACCTTCTAGAGGTCAGGTCAGGGGTTCGAATCCCGGCGTAAGCGAGCTTTTCCTGCAGAGTGAGTTTTTCTCTCGCTTCCGCTCCTGGCCTAGTGGATAGCGCTAGTTCGTGTGTGCACAGAAGGAAAGTGCTGAACTCTTCTCGCATTAAAAATCGAAGGAAACGTACCGCAGGAGGGTAGGATAGAGAGGGGTCCATCTGTGTGACCACGGGTTGGAGTAAACGGCACACTAGTGCTGTGAGCGCTGATTTGAAGTGAAGACAAAAAAAAAAAAGAAAAAAAAAATCCCGCGGAGAGTCAGGGAGTCAGGGACGGGTGAATCGAACGGCCGTCTTAGAGCGTCCGCTGCCATCCGATAGTTCGTGTACTACAAATGAGAGCGTTCGTCGTGGTTTCAGCTTTAATAAAAAACGAGGAACTGCCGGAGTCTGTTTCCAGTACGACCCCTTATACTGCTGGTACTCGACAGTCACCCGTATAATAGTATGTATGTATGTATGTATGCATATGTCGTGTTTACAGTCTGCCGATAGATCGTCCCGCCGTTCCATCTCATCAGTGTTGGATGTTGGTCGGGCACAAGGGTTCGATGCAATACGCCCATCGTATCGAGAAAAAAACACAAATACCGATATTTTGTTCGATATCCCGAAAATGGGTCGATACGTACCGAGTATCGATACTCGATATCGATACGGCTGTTTTGAAGGCCTCAGGTTACAAGAAGAGCGAGCGTTACGCAACTACACGTACCCTGGCACACCCAAACCCTTATCTGAAGTATACAGCAGTGCGCAAGACGTGCGCGCATGGTCTGGCGGCATGGAAGTAGTGGTGTTTGCCAGATGCCAGGTGTGTGCAGTTGAACACCACGAGCACAACAACAACAGCGGGCACACGTTGTGATGTGATGTTGCGCATACAAAACTGCATCGTGCAAGAGGCAGGTTGGTTGTGTATAGCTATGTCCACCAGATATATTTTACATTTTACAGTCAGTGTGCATGTGTGTATAGTGTATACACGTGTATACACGTACGCACTGTAACACCGCCGTACGGTTTCGATCGAATCAGTGCAAGCTCGGCTGCGAGCAGGAAGGATTTCATGACAAAAAAACGCGGAAAAAACTCGAACACTTGGTTTTATATTATCTTACTATACCTTCAAATGCATGCAAAATTCTACCCACCAGTTGTGGGTGCCCAACAATCAGCAATGCACCTCGAGCGAGTATCAACATCTCATAACGCATTGCGATACCAACAGTTTTTCTGAACTTATCATGTGGCTTGCACCGCTGTTGTCAGTCACATATTTCCGACAAGAGAGGAGGGAACCGCGGGTGGTTGAATTAACCACTTTGCTGACAGACAGCTACGTAGCCAGACGCAGCTCCATGCACTCACTCTCTGACTACCTACTTTCAGCACGGGCCACACCAAGTACTGGCGAAAACGGGTGCGCCCGATGCGAACATAGATAGCCACAGTCGATTTTCAGTACAACACGTCGCTCGCGACCGCATGCCGCCATTTGATTGGCCGCCGCCCACCGCCACCCAACCCCGCGACCTGCTTACAACTACGGCGGCCGAGTGCACCACCAGATCATGTCGCTATTTATACTCAAGCCCGGCGGATACTCTACTTTCGATTCTTGTTTCCCTGCACCCGAACAAGGCCGGGCTGCTGCTAAAATGCTATGACTCCACTCACGTGGCGATGCTATTTCCGGCGTGATGCCGTGTGTCCTAAATACCTATCCCAACGCCCGCTGGGGCAGCAGGAGAAGCGATGCGCAGTTGACCGACGTCGAAAACGCGGAGAAAAATGTTTCTTTCTTGCGGCGCAACCGGTGTTCATGAACAATAATAGTAGGTGACGTCATCCGTCTGGAAGTGCCACCGGCAGGGTCAGCCTGTGAGCGACATCATGTCAAGAGGACAACAAGCGGCATACCCTCAGCAGTGGCGTGCGAAAACAGCGGCAGTTGAAACGTGCCACTACTCGTGATTTATCGCCCATTCAACCAGGGCGGGATACTTTCTCTCCATGCTGCGCAATGCTGCGTGCAAGAGGTTGCTTGACGACGCAAGTTCGCGGCACGTAGAGGTGACAACAACAACACCACGACCAGCAGCGTCTCCTCGGCTTCTGTGCCCGCTGCCGATGCTTCTTCTGCCGTAGCCACTGCTGCTGCTGCTGCTGCCGCCGTCACTCCACAGCGTTCTGCGGCACGTGCCACATCTTGCGGCTCCGACATATGACGCATGCACGGATGGTCGCCACATCACCACAATATCAATCGAGCGATCTCGTTCCGTATCATTTTCCGCGAACGTTCTTTCTACTGCTGGCAACTTATTGCACAGGCACACGCAGCGAGATATTTGCCACTGAAACATCGGGCTCCACCTACCTGTGCTCAGCTCGGCGGGTGCCTCGCGCAACCTTCCACCGCCTGGTCGTCCAGCGACACGAGTCAAGCTCCAGCCACACCAGATCCAGCACTTCGCAGAAGAAACCGTTTGCGGCGGTAGCACCCCCTCCTGGGGCGTAGCCAAGAGAGGAGGGTCAACAGCAAAGCGACCTGTTGAAGTGGGAAGGTGGGTGGGGGTTGGCTAGTTGAGGTACAGGTGGACAGGCCGTCTCGGACGTCAAGGCCGTGGCAGCAGGGGTCCTGTAGACCATGTTACACCCCGACTCACGTGTTGGAGTCCTGAACGTCTCGCAAGAGCGCAATATCCGTCTCCGGGACTGCTGAGTCTATGTACTATTGTACTCAAGTATGTATTAGCATAGGCTACAATCGACGTGGGGACAACACCTTTGGTCCTCATTCAGGACGACAGTTTTTTTCTCCCCATTCTTCACCTCATACTTTATGCTAGCTTGCGAGGGATGGCATGCCTGTCTCCACCTTTGTACTCGGCAAGGGAGGACAGGGGTACGTGGGGAGCGCTTAATCTAGTGTGGGTGCTATGTAGACGGGCGGAGGAGTACAAGGGCAGTGAGTGACAGGTTAGGATTGCGGGACGATGCGGCAGGTGTCCTGTACATACAGCAGGTGCGCCGCGTCGATTTTGTGCTGCGGTGGAAAGCGCCGTCCGAGGGGCAAACGCGAAGCGCGGAAGCACCTCAATCCCCGATAAAAGGAGACACCGGGCACAAGAGCTTGGTCGTCGAGGTCCGTTGAAGCAAGTGCAAGACCTCCTTTGGTATCCCGTCTACGACGCTCCTGCCCGGTATCCCGGTATACAGACATAGCCCAATCAAATTTCCCCGCCCAACGCTGCTGCTGTCTTTACTGCTGTATGCTTGTTGATGCATACAGGGCAAAGGGGGTACTGTACACGAAAAATAGTTTGTCCTCGACACACGCTCCATTTTTGTCATTGTGGGCCAGCCGAGGGGGGGGGGTGTACTCATAGTCGTGCATGCCGTAGTCCTTAGACCATTGACTCTACAAGCCGGGAAGGAGCACGCCGGGTGAGTGCAATGCATTGTTGTGTACGAAATCGTATCCCCATTTGTGTGGGGTTCCCCTGCAATTTCAGGTGGAGGTTCTCGAATGCAGCGTCCCCCCAACGTTGGTGGGGGTGAGGTTCCCTAATGCAGAGGTTCCCCTTGCCCTGCTGTTCTGGGAAAAGGTTTCGTAATGCAGAGATTCCCACACGCGAATCCCGTGACCCTACTATGTACCGCATCTGCACTCCACTACTGTACTTTTTCAACAGCAGCCCCGCCCTGCGCGTACTTCGATCTAACTTAAGATGCACTTACTAGGTGGTACTCGAAAAGGTGGCAGGTACTGTATGTACACTATTATTATTGGGAGACTGCCGTGCGATCAGCCCGCCAAGCAAACGAACCTGTTGATCTCTACCCGTTGGGGGTCAGATTTTTCGTTTGTATTTTTTCCCGTCCGCTGTTTGTTCGTTGTCTGAAATTACATGTATTTGGGACGGCAATTGTTATTGTTTGGCCCTTGGGACGTTTAAAGGAAACTTGGATGCTGGGTGAGAGGGGGAAGCGACCGGTGTCGTGCTCTCCTTTGTTGTCAAGGAATTTACTACCCGTGTTCGTAAGAAAAAAACACTGCTGTTCAGAGATACCAACTTACCAACCGCTGCCTTGCCTAACGAGCACGCCACGCTACACTCTGCAGTAACGAACTCTCAAGAGCAGCCAGCGTAGACGGCTCGAACGTGAATACCGTCCCGATGCCTTAAGTCCCATCGTGCCGTGGGCTGGTCCATGCTGTCGGTTTCGTCCGGAAGACTGAGCTCGTCGTTCTGGCCGCGGGATGTGTCTGCGAAGAAAGCGGGC